TTTCTTGCTTTCTTAATGATATTTGGCTTTCTTCCTCTATGATGTTCTTGATGTCATCCCACACGTTTTCTGATTTTTGATCATTAGTGTCTAATGCATCAAATCTGTTCTTGAGATGATTTCTCAATTCAGGTTGTATATATTCAAGATCAAATTTGGGCTCTTGTAGACTTGGCACTGTAAGATAAGCACTGGACTGCTAGCTTTAAGGTTGGTGGTTCAAACCCACCACCTGCTCCTTAGAAACCTTATACAGGATCGCTATGAGTAGGAAACTATGAGACAGCACTAAACAACAAGACTTCTTTTAATTTTCTTGTGTTTCAGCCTGAACTCGTATATGAGAAATTGATGCTCTGTTCCACAGTCTGCCCCTGGCCTTGTTTTGGCTAATGATATGACGCTTTTCCACCTTCTCTTCCAAAGATGTTGCCAATTTTATTTCTGTGTATATCCTCTGGTGAGGTCCATGTGTGTAGTCATCTTTTAAGTTGTCTGAAAAAAAGGTATTTACAGTGAACAAGTCATTGGTCTTGCAAAATTCTATCATGCATTCTTCACCATCATTTCTGTCACCAAGCCATATTTTCCAACTACTGATCCTCTTTGTTTCCAACTTTTGCATCCCAATCACCAGTAATTAGCAATACATCTTGATTGAATTTTTGATCAATTTCAGACTAAAGAAGTTGGTAGAATTCTTCAATTTCATCACCACTAGCTTTCATGATTGGCACATAAATTTGAATAATAGTGGTATTAACATGTCTTCCTTGTTGTTGTTGTTGTTGTTGTGAAGTGCCATTGAATTGGTTCCAACCCATAGCGACCCTGTATCGGGTTTCCTTGTAGGTATATGGTTATTATCTTACCACAGAATAGCATTGTACATCAGGATTGATCTTGAAATGTTCTTTTTGACTATGAATGTGATGCTATTCCTCTTCAATTTCTTGTTCCTGGCACAGTAAACCATATGATTGTCTGATTTGAAATGGCCACTACTAGTCCATTTCAGCTCACTAATACCTTGGGTACTGATCTTTGTGAATCCCATTTCATTTTTGACTTCAAAATTTCCTTGATTCATTCTTCATACATTCCAAATTCCATTATTATTAATGGATGTTGGTAGGTGCTTCTCCTCATTTTTTGTTTTGCCCCATTAAATAATGAAGGTCCCCAAAGCTTTACTTCATATGCCCCATCACAGTCAACTTCTGCATTGAGGAGGCAGCTCTTCCCCAGTCGTATTTTGAGTGCCTTCCACCCTGAGGGGCTCATCTTCTGGCACTGTATCTGACAATATTCTGGTACTGTTCATCATGTTTGCATATTTGGGTACTATGTCTGACAGTGTTCTGCTGTTACACTTAAGTTTTTCAGTAGCTGAACATTCAGAAGTAGTTTGTATTTCTTTTTCCCTAGCCTGGTTTCATCTGGAAGATACACTGAAACCTGTCGGTCTTTGGTGACCTTGCTGGTGTTTAAAATACCAGTGGCATAGCTTCCAACATCACAACAACATGCAAACCACCGCAGTGACAGACAAGTGTTGGGAAAAGCAAATAGGGCTTGGGGTTTTGGATGGAGGAAGCATACAAGTTGTCTTATAAAATAAGTTTCTTACAAGAAAAAATGGTTTTATTTGCTTGTTTGTTTGTTTTTCAATTAAGTCAGTTTGGCAAATCCTGAATGTTCTATTATTCTACAAGTATGTATATGCAAAGATAGTCTTATATCTTTGTCATAGCAGCTAACACCCTTTCTAGGGTCTTTGGAGGCATACAGATAGCACAGCGTCAACATCACCACAGGACTCACTGGAGACCTGCTCAGTCATGTTGGCCTGGAAGTCTTGGTGCTGTGAGAAGTACCAAGTTCTGCAAACAGCCTCCACAGTGATCTTCTAGCCTGCCAGTTTAGATAAGGCAGATATTTATACTGGTTCTAAATTTATGACTTTAGAATCCTGGTGTGGCTCTTTAGGATAAACTCTGGACAGTTAAATAGAAGATGGTCAGTTCAAACCCACCACCCTGACCAAAAGGTGGACAGTTCAAACCTACTAGATGTTAACTGGAAATTCTATAAAGGATTGCTATGAGGTGGAACCAACTTGGGGGCACTTAACAGCAACAACAACAAATTGACTTTTGGGCATGTTTGCTTTTTACCATCTATTTGCAAAAAAATAGGCCTACAATTTGCCACGTGCAGTGATTTACATGTCTACTGACTTATCACACCAACTTTGCAAGGTACAAAAAACTAAAAACTCACTGCTATTTGAATTAATTCAGACTCATACCGACCTTATAAGAGAGAATAGAACTGCTCTGTAGGGTTTTCCAAGCCTGTAAATCTTTACAGGAGCAGAAAACCTCATCTTTATCTTGTAGAGTGGCTGGGCATTCAAACCATTGGCCTTGTGTTTAGCAGCCTAGGATTTAACCCATTGTATCACCAGGGATCATTATAGGAAACTAAAAGATGAGAAAATTGAAATAACAGAAGATAAAACATTTTTTTGCTCAAGTCTGAAATACTCCTAAGTGGCAGAATCAGGCTTTGAACCTGCATCTTATCACTTCAAGTTCAACACTGCCATCTTAGAAAGTGAAATCTTCCAGAAAGTTCTGGCTAGTTGAAATACCTGGTGGTCTTGAGTCTGAATAAATGGCACATGACTTTTTAGAATAAAATCATTGTTATCATCAGAAAGAAGCATAAGTGAGTAGTCATGTTGTGTTCGCACAGAAGGCAGAAAACTATCCTTTCAATATAACTACTCTTATTTGCAGGTCTTGATAAGATTGGTGACAATTAGTTTAATTACTCAAACAAATTTAACCCAGCTTTGAAATCTTAAAACGTATAACTGCTGTGTGTGTGGGCAGTGAGCTGCAGAGAACACATTCAGTCCTTTTTACCTACCTGTAGCTCTGTGACTTTCAGTGGGTCACCATTGCTGTGACTGTCATAGGTCACCTTCTCTACCTAGTCTGTAAGTGGAGAGTAATAATGCCTGCTATCTGATGTGAGAACGTGTTGGAATTATAATGTACCTTTTGGACAAATTGCTGGAAAAAAAATGTCAGTGCCAAAACACTAGCAAGAGCCTCCCTTCAGGTAGCAAACTAGTTATCATGGAACAAGAGTAAGTTGGTGAGATGAGGAATCGAAACCTTTCAGCAAGAGACATAGAGCTTGGTGTGGAGGAACTTTTGCAGGGGTAGGGAACCTTTTTCTGCCAAAATTTATAACATCATTTGCAGGCCATACAAAATGAGCAATTTAAAAGTGAGCCTGCTATATTTAGCCAGACATTTAAATAAGTCACCCTAATGTGATGGCTGGAGTCCTGGTGTGGCAGGTTAATGCGCTTGTCTGCAAAGTCACTTTGAACCACAGGGTTGGCCATTAAAGCTCACCAGCTGCTCCTTGGAAACCCTATACAGGGTTATTATGGATCAGAACCAACTCGATGACACTTAAAAACAACAACAACAATGTGATGGCTGGAACTCTGGTTGCCTTGTCAGGGCCAGACCAAATGATTTCGTGAGCCTTACATGTCCCCCTGGGAGTCCTGGTGTGGTGGTACAAGTTAATGTGCTGGACTGCAAGGTTGGTTTGAACTGCAAGGTTGGTGGTTCAAGCTCACCAGCGGCTCCTAGAAAACCCTAAATAGGATCACAACGAGTCGGAACCGACTTGACAGCACGTAACAACAGCAAATGCGGCCCCCTGACTAGACATGCCTCACCACTGTTCTAGAGGCTGTAATTCATGTTGGTAACATCACCCTGCCCCTTCATGGTATGTTGTTAAGTGCCACTGAGTCAGTTTGCATTCCTAACGACCATCCTTAGGGTTTCTGAGGAGTGGCTGGTGAGTTTGAACTGTTGACCCTGTGGTTCAAACTGACCTATGGCTGAGTGCTTATCCTACAGTGCCACCCCAGAACTCCCGTTGTGGAAATCACTCTGCTAAAACGCTCTCCTTGTTTTTCTCTTTTCTTCCATAGATGATCTTAGTAGCCATATTTTCAGAAACTGGATTTTTTGATTATTGTGCTTTAAAGGTAGGTTTAATATTTCACTCAATAGTTGTACACTAACTAATTATTTTGCCAACAGTACCTATTTAGTAAATGAAGCTACTATTGAAGCAAATATTTTAAAATCCTGCCCTCCTTATAAAAATCACATCTGCAGAGCTGGGTACCTTGGTTGGGCTAAGAAGTACGAGAGCTGTAAGCAACACTTTTAGCTTCTTGATAAATAACTGAAGAATGGAGATCAAGAAAAGAGCACTAACGTTAAATGGCAGCATAGTATTACTAAAACTGGTCGTTTACAGCTACACATCAAAGTCGTTTTGCATTTGAGAGTATGTAAATATTTCAGTTCATCAGCCCTTGATTTCTTTGCCTTTTGGCAAAATACTTTCAATGATTACTTTCTAAACCTGAGCATAATAATTTTCATAAACCCAACCCACCAGCATGTTCTGATGAGCTAATGATTCTCTGATTCATAATTGGCAAAAAGAGAGCAAAGCTTGTGTAAAGGCTAATGATACACTTGGGATATTTTTTTGTTTTAGAATGGAAAAGTTCTTTTAAGAAATGATTTAATCAACTTCAGCATCTCTAACAAAGAGGGCCACATACCCATGACTCTGTCTTGCTCCTCTCTGATCTGTCTTACTCCTGTCTTGGCAGGCCTATCGGGTTTCCCGGGGAAGAGTGTGGCCCATGATCACCATGCTGTGCCTCATTGCTGCCATCCTCTCTGCCTTCTTAGACAACGTCACCACCATGCTGCTCTTCACTCCTGTGACAATCAGGTATACAGTGCTTCCGCCATGTCCATCCGCTCATCTTCTCATGGGTCTACTGAGTTTGGGTTGAGTTGGTATGTTGATAGGTGCTTTCAGTGAACCTGCTATCCCATCCTTATCACATGCTGCAGCGCTGTGGTAGGTGTGGGATTGGTCACAACTGCTGTAGAAATACCTGCAAGGAATCAGATGACATAGGACTTGCTTTCATGGGGATTAGAACCACTAACAGCCAGGTGCTTAGGGATATTGTCCCTGCACACCCTCCTCCCCTGCTCTTACATCATATAGCTGAGAGACCTCCTACCTCTGGGCTGCTTAGGAAACAGGATTGGAGATGGCTGTCATGGGAGCCAGACCAACCAGGCTAAGGGGAGTCAGGACCAACCTATGGTTGGAACTCCACAGAGCCACTTCCGGAGTGAGAAATTCACCTTGTTTTAATTCTCTCCATTCTAGTCACTCAACATTTAATGAATGCCAGAGGCCATGTCCTAGAATCTTCTGTAGCCTGAGCCTTCTAGACTTAGGTCCCATCTCATGTGCATATGTCATATTCTGTCAGTTTTGTCAGCAACAGGCCCCAGGGTGGGGCCCTTCTTACTTTGTTTGTCACATGTAGCACTTGTCTTAGCCTTGGGGATACTGAGGGACAGGATAGGCATGGTCTCAATGGTTGTCTCATGTAATTAGCAGGTGGGGCCTTCCGCCACACTGTTCTGTTTTGTGCCTATTCGGGAATTAGATGAAACAAAGAGATTGCTGGACTGTGAGGTTTGTGACATATTGTTAGGTGTCATCGAGTTGGTTCTGACTCATAAAGACCTTATGCACAACAGAATGAAACACTGCCCAGTCCTGCGCTTGAGCACGTGACTGACTGCTGCCACATCTTGTTAGGGATCTGCCTCAATTTTGCTGACCCTCTGCTTTAAGAGGCATTATGTCCTTCTGCAGAGACTAGTCCCTCCTGATAACAGAGTATGAGAGGTGAAATCTTACCATCCTGGCTTCTAAGAAGCATTCTGATGATACTTCTTCCAACGGCAGATTTGTTTGTTCTTTTGACAGTCCATTATACATTTTTTGTTTCTTTTTTTTAAAAAAAACTTTTAACTGTGAATTGAATGAAAGTTTACAGATTAAAGTTTTGCATTCAACAAATCATACACTTTGTTTCATCTCAATGATTACAACTCACTCTTGGCAACAACAGTTCTTTGCTTTCTTCCTGTGGTTCCTGTTTCCATTCAACCCACCTTCCATCCCTTCTAAACTTTGTCCTTAAGTAAATGTTGCCCTTTGGATGTTGAATAATTGACCATTCCATGGTGAGCATATCTTACTAGTGTTGTTGTCTCCACCAATAACCTATCTACTGCTGACTGAAGATTGGGCCATATGGGTAGGTTCCTTTCAAGACCTGAAGTGGTAGAGGGCTTGAGAAATGCTGAGTGCAAGCTTCCCTTTGGGTTTTCTAACTTTAGGTTTTTGTACACATCTTTGTGATACTTTACTTTGTCTTCTCAATCTGCCCTTTGAAATATTCTGTTCTGCTCTTTTGCATCCTCATTTCTTCCATTGTCTTTATCTGTGCTCATAGCAAGTTTCAGAGTCTCTTCTGACATCCACTTTGCTCTTTTCTTTATTTCCTGTCTTTTTAGTGACATTTACCTGTATTTTTGTATGATGTTCTTGATGTCATCCCACTACGCTTCTGGTCTTTGTCATTAGTATCTAATGCATCAAATCTGTTCATGAGATGGTCTTTAAATTCAGGTGGGATATGTTCAAGGCTACATTTTGTTTTTTGTAGACTTGCTTTACTTTTCTTCAGCTTTAGCCTGAACTTGCATATGAGCAATTGATGGACTATTCCACAGTCTGCCCATGGACTTGTTTTGCCTCATGATTTTGAGCTCTTCTACTGTCTCTTCCCACACATGTAGTTAATTTGATTTCTGTGTATTTCATTTGGTGAGGTCTGTGTATATATTTGCCTTCTGTGTTGTTTTAAATGTACACATGACCTCAACAAATGAAATACACAGAAATAAAATGACTTAAAATGACTACATGTGTGGGAAGATTTGTGTATATGTGCTGATTATTATGAATCGGGCTATAAACCTTGAGGTCAGCAATT